TTTAATGCTTCTGTTCAGCTCATTTTATCACGATTCACTTAAGTTTGACTCATTTTGAATTTGACTCATCATGTTTTCCGGTGAATGATTCTTGTCCACTCCAAATGACTCATTCCGGTTGAGTATAGAGGCTCAGCCAAGTAAGAATCTTTATATTATGACTCAGACTCATCCGAGTTTGACTCAGATTGATTGTGGTCTGCTCTGAATCATTTCCTCATGACTCAAATTCTGCAGGACTCAGAATGAATCAATTCACAGTGAAACATGATTCTACTTTGTGTGAATCATTGCATATTGTGTATCAATCAGTTCGGTTCTATATGACTCATTGTTATTTTTGTATGACTGTGCCCAATGAGTTGATTCAAATCAGTTGGACTGTTCAGTTCCATTTGATTTAATTAGATTTAGAATAATTAGATCATTTTTGTGTGAATCACAAGGTCCATGCAAATCATTTATATTTGATGCTACTAAATTAAGTAAGATTTTGTTCAGTTCAGTGAGTCATTTTATTTTGAAATGAATAAGTTAATTTCACTATGATCATATTAAACATATTACGGTTGTGTTGAGCTCAGTATGAATCATTTTATCATGATGGAGCTCAGTATAAATGTGTTCAGTTTCATACGACTCGTTCTTTATGATTTTTTTACTGAAAATGTTGTACTTTATGTTTGGTCTGAAACATCAAGATTCAGTTGAGTGTGAATCAAGACATCTGGGAATCATTTTCCTAAATTACGATCAATTCAGTTCTATTTCTTCACTTCAAGTCATAATGAGTCATTTGTGTGATAATTATGATTCTGTTTTCTGCAGGAGAGTGTAGGGGACTCACCGTTGAGGCCAACATGGATCCTCCGAACCACACGGCGTACCTCTGCATGTGGTGAGTGATCACCTGGACATCGATAGGCTTGGGCTGCAAATGAAAGAACACTCCTGATGCATCGTCTCATGAAAGTTAGCAGGAGTGGATATCTCCTCCGTCCGTCAAGCTAAACAATGTTAGTTTGTTGAAATAGACAAGTTTTGTTATGTTTAGAGCAAGCTCCATACCTTGAGTTTGCCACCGCTCAGCTCCTCGCTCAATTTCAGACGCGCATCAACTGTTCTCTTCAGATCCCGCTGAAGTCGACGGCCAAAGTCTCTGAACATGGTGGAGCCACCCGAGAGCACGATGTTCTGCACAAGGAGAACATTTCCCCAATTTCAGATCCACCAAGTTCAACGCAATAGAGTTCAGTAAGATTCAAATCAGTTCACAATATGATTCACTTCAGTTCAACGCAATAGAGTTCAGTAAGATTCAAATCAGTTCACAATATGATTCATTTCGTTCAAAGCAATTGAGGTCAGTATGACTGAAATCAGTTCCCAATATGATTCATTTTAGCTCAATGCAATTGAGTTCAGTATGATTCAAATCAGTTCCCAATATGATTCATTTTAGTTCATATCAATTGAGTTCAGTAAGATTCAAATCAGTTCCCAATATGATTCATTTTAGTTCAATGTAATTGAGTTCTACAAGATTCAAATCAATTCACAATATGATTCACCTTAGTTCAATGCAATTGAGTTCAGCAAGATTAAAATTAGTTCCCAATATGATTTAGATTTAGTTAATACAATTAATTAGTACAATAAATTACTTTACAATTAAATTCTACACAATTCAGATCAGAATAAGTAATTTAAAATCAATGATTTCAGTTCAATACGATTCATTCAGTATATTCTGGTACTATCATTTTAGATCATTCATCTCATTGTGATTCAGTTGATTGTTGAAGGATTCACCATGACTCATCTCCCGTCAACTAAACAAAACTCTCGCTCACCTTATAGAGCGGTCGCCGTACGTCAATGGGGCAGTTCTGGATCACCTCGTCTACCACCTCCGAGATGGGCTGCGTAAAATCTGGGTTTGCGAACTGAAAACGATAACAGCATTTAGAGACGTCTTGACAAACCGTTTATAATCAAACACATCCATTAACATGAGACCTCGGGGTGGAAGAAGATCTCAGGCCCCAGGAAGCGCTCATAGCCCACATCGATGGTGAACTCTTTCTTGCTAACAGCATTGATCCCGGTGTATTGCTTGATCCACTTGGAGCCGTCGGTGTCATACTTGCTGAACTCCTTCACCAGGTCTGGACACACGTAGCTGAAGCGCTCCTGATGCACACAAACACACGTCAGACACACAAACGCATGCACCTTCTTACAATCTCTCTTTTACTGGCTCACCTTAACAGCTTTGGCGGTCTCCAAGGACTGTTCCGGCGGGATGCCGATCTCTCGCTCTCTCAGCAGCTGTTGGGTGAAGTAGGTGATATCCCGCCCGGCAATAGGGATGTGCTTGATGCAACTGCCAATCACGTATCCCTCAGCCTGTCAATTAGAATCACTCACAGTGAAGTCACTTCCTGTCTGAGAAAACCATGGAGCGACAGTATGTGTTGGTGAAAGAAAGTACCACAGGAATGACGTGAGTGACGCCGTCTCCACTGTCGATCACGGTTCCTGTCAGTGTTCTCTCGCCTACTTGCCGAGAAGTCCACGAGGCTGCAAGTGCCAGCACCGCCTGACAGAAACAGATTCAGACATGACCACAAAATAGACACCGGGACATGGAGCAGACATGGAATTGGAACAAAGACACAGAGGATGTGGAACATGGCAATGCGAAGCAGACAGAGACAGTAACGTTTGAGAGTGATCGAGTACCTGAACAGCTATGTAGAGCCCGGGGACGTTGAAAGACTCGAACATGATCTCAGCCGTGTATTCGCGGTTCTCCGGAGTATTCAGAGGAGGTTCTGTCTGGAGAACAGGAAGGAAAACAGTACTTTTATTTACCCGCTCAAGGTGTTCTATGTATTTACAAACTTCAGAGAGAGAGCAGCAAAACAGTGGCCTGCTTTGAACGTGCACTGAAATAGGAAGTGACTTCTCACCAGCAGGAAGTAATGATCTTCAGGCTCCGCCCTCAGGTACTTGAAGATGACCTGCTCCATGAAGCGCTCCATTAGATCCCAATCCTCCACAATGCCATGACGGATCGGCCACTGAGGAGATACAAGTTCCTTTCCACCTTAGATTACATGCAGGCATAAACAACATCTATACTGCTTTTATTTGTTCATTGATTGAATTCTTCATGTTTCAATTCAGATTTTCGGTGGTCTTGGACTTCAGCTTGGAAAGAATAAGTGAGAATGTGTACGGGTGTGCTGACCTTGGTGGCATAAGTGGGTTTGTCGATGGCCTCATCTCCAATGTAGAAGTCCAGGTCGTCGACTCCCTTCATCATCCTCCGCTGAGCTTGATCCCCCACCTTCGCTGACTCCTTGATGGCAATGCCTAGGGAGAGCGTTCTGGATTAATTAAGAATCTGCTTAAATGCACTTTAGCATCTCGGGGTTTATCAGAACCACACTACAGCCTTAAGGAACACTATGCTCTACTCACATGACGGGATGATGAACTGTGGTTCAGTGTTTCCAGCGTATCCCAGTTTAGTGTACCTAAACACACAGATGCAGGTTATAATTACCAGTCATCCCAGATTAAACCCAACATCACCCGCTGCCAACACAGGACATAAGAGCTGATTGAACCATAACAGTGTTTTTTTTTTTTTTGCAGAGTTAGAAGCTCCGCCTACTTCCTGCATCTGGGGGGGACTTAACAAACAAAAAAGCTTTTTTAATCAACAGTGTTTTTGAACTACTTGCAATTACCTGTACATCAATGAAAAATACAAAACAACAAAATTATTTTTTAACTCTTTGTAAAAGCAAATCAGTCCCTTAAGATTTAAAAATCTTAGAATTAAAAAGGGAAAAGGGTTTATTTTCATACTATTAAAGAACTGCCAAACAAAGGTGGAGCAAATTACTGACAGCTTATTCCCAATCCTTTCTAATGAGACGAGGCCTTTGCTGTTGTAACGCACGCATCGCAACGATGAGCTACGGTTTAACTCCGTGACCAGTGTGTTTATCATAGCATTATGAATACATCATCTAATTAATATTATTAATTCAGTTTTTTTTATAATAGAGAGCATCATGGACATTTTCAAAGCTTTGCCCATATAAGGCTGAGGCCAGAACACGGAAGTTTAGGAAGAGGAAGCTGCACAGCGCATGCGCACCACATCACAACAGACGAAATCATTAACCCGCATTCAAAAATGATTACTTGTTTTTTTTACATCACATTTTTGATGGCATAATCCTGTATGCTGACAACAGCAGCAACAGCTGCACTCGTTTGCGCGTGAAAACGTACATCTGTGCACGACAACGCGTCGCTTAGCATCCCGGTGAGTGAAAATTCTGCACAAAACCACGGAATTAAAACCACAGTCAGAGATGCCTTCTGAACCCGGAGAAAGAATAACACAATCTAATACGTTAATGAGCAAAAGCACCGGAGGAACAGATCACTGGAGTGATCGCTGACACCGCGCGTCCCCGTTTCCTCTGGGCTCGTTAGCCACGCGGTAACTCACCCCGTGCCGCAGTCCACGACGCACGCCGGTAACCGAGCGGCCATCTCGAAGCTTTAGCGCCCGTGATCCCGGGGAGATGATGATCGGTCTGTCCGTCGGTGAGTTCCTGAGCGAGGCGGAACCCGGAAGCGCGAGGGAAGCGGTTTCCACTTCCGCATTCAGGCGCAGGAGAAGAGAGGCACGTCACTCAGAAAAGAGTGGGCGGGATTATGTAGGACACACGTGACCTTTTTGAAATCTGATAAAGCACATTTTTTAAGTGTTTTTTTTAATAAAGCTTTTACTTTTGCTTATTTAACAAGTGTACACGGCTCTATTTATGTATGTGCTTGGATTTGTCTGCGGTTGTTTAACCAAAATAAATAATTAAACAAATTACATTTATGCATTTGGCAGACGGCATACTTTTTAACCACGGCAACTTACATTTGAATGAATGAACACATTTTTTGTCAGTTCTGGATTTCCCTGGAATTTGAAACCCATGACCTTTGCATTGTTAGCGCAATGCTCCACCAATTAAGCCACAGGAAATTACAATTATTTTTTTTTTTGAACCTTACGACATACGGAGATCAAAACAGTATCAAAAACCTTACATAATAAGATTGCACTGGCGCATACTACGTAAAAACAACTACAAAAAGAACGTGTTATGAGAATAAAATAAAAAGGTCATTGCATTAGTGCGTCTTGCATTGGTATTTTTCAGTCCAAGAAGAAACTTCAGGTAATGAAACAGATGAAAATTAGGGTATCCTTGAGTCCACTTCTATTTATGGCAAATGTTTATGAAACCATTTAAATGTGAACAAATTTTTTGTGTAAATAAGTGCAAAACCTTGTTTAGATATATTTTAATCTATATGTAGAAAATGTAATACAATTAATTCGTACCTTTGGATTATTACAAACATTTACGGCTCTCAAATTTTCATCTCACAAAAGCTTTCATTTGCCCCCCCCAAAAGTTTGATATTCTCTGGTAAAAATACATCTATTTCCACTTATTTCCAGAAGAGGGCGCAAATACATCTCGAAATTGTTTCCCAAACACCGTTAAACACAAAGAAACGATTTTCTTCGTTGAAGAAACAGCTTTAATGAAAACTAGAGTAAAGATGGAAATTACTAATGAGACCAGCAGAATAAAATAAAAATAACTAGAGGAACAAATAGGTCTGAGTTTCTCCGTTACTGCTAATGTGCCACATTAAGATGAATAAAGCATTAGCAACATAGGCTAGCAGAATTTTTATTTAAGGGCTTTTTCTTCTTTAGGTCAAACGGAAGTGAATGAAGTCCATAGAAATTTGTATCATGAAACACTTTTGAAACAGGAAAAAGAAAAAATACTTTCAGAAACTGCTGTTTTAACAGAGACAAGAGAAGAGTTTTACTCTTAGTTCCTCCCTCCATCTTCAGTGTAAAAAAAAATATGCATGGTCCCGAAATAGCTGTAATCGCACCATCATCCAGTGTGTCTGGGATTAGGAGGAGACAGAAGGGTGTGCGAAAGCTACAGAGGATCTGTGCTTGGTTTTCCAATATGTTTGGAAAAACCTTCCAACAGTGTTCCTTCAAAAACTGTGGAAGAGTATCTATAAGTCAAAAAACCATAGACTGATTTAATCCAGAGTCTCTTTTGTTCATTCACTCCACATTGTTCATTGATAAAAAAAAAAAAAAATGATCAACACTTCCAATTCTGAAAACATTTTTTTATTTACATTTCCTAAAACCTTTGCATAGGACTGTGTATACAGACACAAAAGGTGCGGGTAATCGATCAAGCACACCCTCCTGTTGTAAACTGCATCATGTGACTAATGACTGAGTTCATATTGTCAACTACTTGGAGCAGAAACCTCTCTACACATCGGCTCTGCAAGACGCTTCTTCGGTACATCCAGAGAAGGAAACCTTTACTGACAAAAGATGAAACTGAGACCAGCATGTATCTGAGAGCTGAACAGTTCTCAACCTCTCCAAAGGTATCTTCCTTCTCACAATTAAAACAAGCAGAGGTTGATCTCTTTTTGATCTTCTCTTGAAAAATTTGATAATCCTCAAGCCGATTCTTCTCCAGCTCAATCTCTTCCGATTCCATTCTTGCTGTTCTTGACAAATAACTCTCAGGCTTCTCTTCTCATGCTCTGCTGTGATTCTACTAAGCTCTGTTAGTTTGATCATTAATGACTACGATAACAGAGCTGATAAGACGCACCAGAGTCAACAAGCACAAGAGTCAATGCCAAACACAACTGAATCATGCTGAGCAACACCCTCGTAGTCACACTGAACCAATCAGAACGCAACTAATTCCTTCTGACATGAGTCTAATAGACTGAATTCTCAGGTATAAACCAAAGCCCTCACTCATGGATCAGACCAGCTTGGATCAAATGGACTGGGGTGTTCTGGAACCCCCTTTGGCGCTGAAAATCTTCCTGACGGTGCTGTATTCTCTGATCTTGGTGCTGGGGGTCTTGGGTAACAGTGCCACTATCAGAGTGGCTCAGGTGCTGCAGCAGAGTGGCGACATGCAGCGGAGTGTATCGGACCACCTGTTGAGCCTGACCTGCTCTGCCCTTCTAGTTCTGCTGCTGGGGGTTCCCGTCCAGCTGCTCAGTGCTATATGGTTCCCTCTTGCCACCTCCTCAGCTGACATCACTTGTCGCATACACAGCTTCTTGCTGGAGTTCTGCAGCTATGCAACCCTTCTCAATGTGGCCACGCTCAGCTTACAGCGGTACCTCGCAATCTGCAAGCCCTTCCGATACCGTCACCAGGCCTTGAGCCGCCATCGGACCCTGAAGCTGCTTCTGCTCACTTGGTTCTGCTCTGCCCTAGTAGCCTTGCCAGTGCTGGTTTCCACCGGTGTGGAGGAGATCAGGGTGCCTGGGGTGACCACAAATAACAATGGAACCCATGGAATGGAGAGAACCGGTAGAACGGAGGGAATTAGTGGAATCAAGGAAGTGAGATTCGAGGTATCTGGGAGAATTGATGGACTCTACAGAAACCAGGGGAGAGAACCCTATGGATTGAACAGCGTTTGGGAAAATTTTGAAACCAATACCCTTCATAGAATACAAAGATCAAGTGGAAACTACAAAAAAGAGGGAAGCACCCAGGAATCCCACGGAACCAGGGATACTATAAGAATCAAAGGGATAACAAGAACTTTTAGAGGCACTAGAAAAAAAGGAAGAGAGGGAACAAGTGGAATCAAAGAAACCAGTAGCATGCTAGAAATTGGGAGAACCTTAAGAACCAGTGCAGAGGAGGAAATATATGGAATGCATGGAATAGGGGGAAACTCCAGACCCAGAGAAACCAACAGAACTGAATTTAAAGGAACTGGTGGAACGCAAGACTCTGTGGAAATCTCTGGTGAACTTAAAGGAATTAATGGACCCTACAGATGCAACGGAACAGCGGGACTCTACAGACTCCATAGGATTGGAGAAACTTACAAAAGGCACAGAACTGGAAGAAGCTCTGGAACCAGTGGAATCAATGCAACAGGCAAAACTTACAATGCTCAGGACGGAAAGAGAAATCAAGGAACTGAAGGACCTAGAACTACAGACAGCCCAACTGTGGAGAACCAGCCCCAGAACCTGAGCTTCTGCACAAGTCTGAGCCGGCACTGGGTCATGTACCGCTTTAGCATCTTTACCGCCTTCATGGTTTACCTAGTGGTCCTGATCAGCGTGGCCTTCATGTGCAGAGCCATGATCCTTGTTCTGCGGGCTCCGATGGGACCAAGGGAAACTGGAGAGGAGGAGGGGAAACTGTCCAGGCATGAGAGCGCCCGGGTGAAAGCATCCCGCAAACAGACCATCCTTTTCCTGGGTAGGATATTTTCCGTTTATCTACATCATCAGATAATCCTTGTTTTACAGAGTGATAATCAACTCTTAATTTGACTGATTATCAAACACAATTCAGAAAATATTCTCTCGTAATCGACCTTTCTTCATCCCTGTGCCAGTGCTGGTGGTGAGCTCTCTGTGCGTGTGCTGGACTCCTCTTCAGATCCTCCGGCTGATGACCGCATCTCTTCCTCGTTCATCTTGGTCGTCTAGTTACCTGATGGCCTTCGCACGGTTGTACCCGGTGGCTGGAGTGTTCTTCTACTTGAGCTCCTTACTGAACCCGTTGCTCTTCAGTCTGTCTTCACAACGCTTCCGTCATGCCCTGCGATACACCGTTCAATGCTCAAGAGCACTAGATGATGAAGTAGGCTCTGGAGACACACCCCAATCCTCAAGAGTTTTTGGGAGGAGCAGAGTCTCTGGAAATACTCTGCGACCTCTGCTCAAACTCATCAGGGTAGACAGATCGACGCCTTCATCCACTGGAGAAGAAGTGGCAAAAGACACCGTAGACTCTCAGGATGAGCGGAGAGATGAATCTAGAATATTGAATGATGAACATAGCTGCTAAAAATATCTGGAGATTACTTTGATCTTCATAGATGTGGCATCATAGAATATTGTAAATCAAGACAGAGAAGTCTATGCCGACTAATATTGTACTGTAGTCACAAACAGCCTGCAAAAACAATGGATTTTAAAATGACTTTGTCTTAGTTCAAAACTGAAAAAAATAAAACAAGGCGCTGAAAGAACCGTTTTAAGATCATATTTATTTTAAACAAATATGAATACCACAAATAAATTGGATAATTCTGTTTATATCAAGGAAATATCTGATATACAACAACCTCCTTAGAATAAACCCTAATTAATTAATTTCCCTTTTTATAACAATTAATGTACCACATAATAATAATCCCCCTAATACAGTTACAGTCTAAATATTTCACAATGAAACCATAAGGGAAAACCTATATGTTGTGTAGAGCAGATTAAAGCTTTTGGTGAATAAAAACAGGTAAAGGCATTTTGAGCAGCACTTTAGAATGGGTGGAAAGCAAAGTATAGTTGGCTGAGCGTTAGATAAGGTAGAACAACATTAGGGTGGGGTACTTTTGGGAAGGCTTTGGCCAAATAAAGCAGGTAGGGGCACTTCAGAGAAATTGGTGGCCATATTTTGCAGTAGGGCCACTTTAGAGCAGATGGAGGAACTTTAGAGAAGGATTAGGCAAATACAGCAGTGGGAGGGGGGTATAAATATATACAGCAATAGGGATTTTTTAAGTCAGGTGGAGAAAGGTGGGTGCCCTTTAGAATATATGGGGGAAAGATATAGTTGATGGAGACACTTCAGAGCAGGGGGTGATCAATAATTATACATTTGTTTATTTCTATTAATCATTGCTCAGTATTGTTACTGCCCCTCAGGGGTGTTCGGTGTGTCGGAGGAGAAGAAGGCGGTGCGCTCCGTCCCCTGACACACGTATGTAATGTGCTCCACTTCTCCACCGTAGTTACTGGGCTTCTGAAAGTAGATCTCCAGATGGTCCTGCAGATCCTCCGGATCCATCAGCGGGGGGATATTGGAGAGTAGGAGGGAGCGTTTTGGTCTTCCACAGAATGACTGGCACACAGAAAGATAAAGAA